CACCCATTTGTGCAACGTGTCATAGAAATATAAGAAAACATAACACATACCACAATTTGTCCATATCGGTCAGTCGGGTTCCGAGATATAGGGTTTCAACAAAAAGTATGCGATCGTTAAATTCGTACCCCGGGATATATTATGCCCGTCATACCATCTCAGCGGCATGTTTTGTGTTTCTGTCGCATTTAGTCATTGGTTTAATTTTGGACAGTACCGTTATATGGGGACTGAACGGGGTTTTCTTCCGATTTCGTCCACTTTCACACCATAGGAAATGTTGGTTTAGGAGATATGTACATTAAACGTACCCGCCACGCTTACATTTTGTAAATTTTTCCACAGGTGCCTATTACTACTGCGATCCCTGTGCTAAATAAGAGTTGCATATCTTAATTACGTGCTTAGTTAGTTTTATAGGTTTTCGGTTAATTGCGATTTTTGGGCGTGTCATTAGTCCGATTACGCCTATCTACGAACTCGAACTTTCTTTTGTACTAAGAAACCTGCGTACCAAGTATCGTCAAGATATCTAATGCCTTATTCACGTTACAGCTTGCACGGACGGACGGATAGACGGGGAGTCAACCGGATTTCAACTTTTCTCGTCACCCTGATCATATATATATACTATATACTAACTAGTAGTTTCTTTTGTACTGAGAAACGTTGTGACAATTAATGGAAATATGGATTACGTATATGACATAAATATTTTTAAATAAAATTTTAGAAGATTGAGCATTGAATAAGATTATCAGTACTAACAAGATAATGATCCGAAATATTAGGCTCATAAAGTTATTAAGACGCCTGTTCAAAGTCAGGATCTCAACCCGATTAAGCACTTGTGAAGCAATTTGGAGAAACGCTTGAGAGAGCGTCACTTTACACACAAAAATCAAATGGAGAAGGGCTTGAGGAGGAATGGCTTAAAACCATTAGTGAGGTAACGAAAAACTTGGAGAAATCGATGCCAAGACGGTTGCGGGAAGTTATTCGTCGCGGAGGAATAACAGCAAAATATTAATTTTTGCGTTCTCATTGAATATTTGTCAAATATCGAATAATTATTTTTCTCGCTTCTGATTTATATTGTTTTTGTAGATACAATAATTTCCAGAACAGAAGCTGAAAGCATATTTGTACCAAATCATTCAAAAGTTATTTGTTTTTGATRACAATATTGCTTTTATGCACCAATATTCGCAGAAGTCGCTATGTGTCGAATACTTTTTTTGGCTGTTTTATAAGTGGTTTGGTGCGAAATAAACACGTGCTACATAATTGACAGTTGATGTGCAAAAGGGAAGATTTATTGATATATCAAAACTACGTACAACATTTATGGTATTGACTCCTTTCCTAAAGAGTCGTATGTAGTATGATGAAAACTGGCTTTAGACGATCGATGGAAACTTTAACTTTATTCTCTTTTATTTCCACTTTGAAATACTTAGTTGAGCGAATCCAAACTTTGTAGGGTCGTATTTAAGGTGCTGATAATGATGGTCTGACTGAATCATCGCGGATGAAGACGGGATCGATATGCTAAGCTGTACTAAAATTTCGCAGTTCTAGCATGATACGGCGTAGCTCCGCTGGAATTTCTGTTTCGTTCTGGTTGCTGGGTCGTTCGATGAAAAGCTCTGAAGGTAATCGTAATTATGTTCCAAATGCCAATACAGAAGGATTAGAAGCGATGCCGGCTTTATATGTTAAGCGCAGTACAAATAGTATGTTCGAATCGGCTACTGGGAGTTATTCCGCATTGGAGTAAGCTTTTCTGTATCGAATGACTTTACGTTCTTGGCACTGTATGCAGCATTTTACAAAAGATCTACTATCCCTAGTAGTGCGCGTACCGGAGGTGCGATAAATTGTGTGCAACCCGAAAAAAGTTTGTCGAAATTTTGGTGTTACAAAGAGACGAATTTAGTCTGTTCAAATATCGCAAAAAACTTTATTTGGAGGTTATATAAAGATTTTAATTTTAGTGAGTGTCGAATGCTGCCATTTAGGTGTGCTAGAAAATCTTCGCCGTTATATTGGTCTATGGCCGTAGTCAATATTGGMCCTTGTAAGTGATTGAATTCGCGATAATAGAACAACGGTTACTGTATCGCATTTCAGCTTATGAAAACTTTCTTGAGAAAAATCCTAATAGTTGAAGTTTGTCACCTRCCATTTGATTTAAAACTGCTCCAGCTGAAAAATCGGATGAATCTACTCACAAAGGAAGTTCTACATCAGGTATTTGATTAGTGAACATAACACAGTTGGGGTTTCGCAGTCTCAAAATGGCAGCCTAGGTGAATTTTTTATTGTTCAGCACCGCTTAGCAATGGGCAATGAATGCCCTAAAAATTTGAGTTGAAATACTCAGATTTACTATTTGGCAACATTGATCGTTAAATTGTAGTCTCCAAAATGGTTAAATACTGCACGAAAACGTAGTTTGTGTTCATCAATAAATTTTGATGTAGTGCAAACATCATCTAAATACGCAAATGTGAATCAAAGCCTCGAAGTACTTCGTTAATATAACACTGGAATGTCTGCGTAACATTTCTTAATCCGAACATAATGCGGATGAATTCAAAAGGGCCAAACGGCGTCGTAATAGCGGTTTTACAGATGTCATCAGGTTAATAGGCACCAGTGAAACGCTTTCTGCAAATACAAAAAATGAAAAACTTTGATTCTGCTTGTTGATGATTTTTCTTTAGCCTTTTGAATTTTTTTACATCAAGTCGAAAGTATGGTATTATGTAAATGGCCGCCGCCACAGTTGATTGTTATTTGAGCCATTTTTATGGCATTTTCCATCACTTTAGCCAGAACTTCCGGTGATAGGTCCTCATATTCTTTACGGATATTGTCTTTAAGAGCTGTAAGAGGCTGAGGCTTGTTCACATAAACCCGCGACTTCAAAAAATTCAAGGCCAGTGCAAATCACCAAAACGGGAGAAAAACGGTGCCCGGGAAATGTATCCTTCAGCATATCGGTTGTGGCACGTGCAGTGTGTGCCGTTGCACCGTCCTGTTGGAACCAGATGTTTTCCAAACCCAATTGATCAAATTGCGGCAAAAAGAACTCGTGGGTCATTGCTCTGTAGCGTTCACTACTCACAGTAACCGTTTGGCCCGCGACGTCTTCGAAGAAAAAAGGTCTGATGATTCCTCCAGTGGGTTACACGTGGATTTCCTGTGCCCCAGAAGCGTAAATTTTGCTTATTTACGTACCAGCTAAGATGAAAATGGGCCTCATAACTCATGATTATTTTTGATGAAAAATCATCTTCATTTTGGTGGTGATTAAGGATGGCTTAAGCAACTAACAACTGATGCATCCTCTGGGCTTCGTACGGAAACATCTTCAAATTGTGTACAAAAATTCGTTGTAAAAACCGTCGACTGATACCCATTTGTGGGGCACGTCGTCTGGTCGACGTCGCAATGTTTCACCAGTAGGCGTCGGACGGCCAGGAAATCTGCGACGAAATTCACGTTGTGTGAAAGTCACCGACCCATTATTTGTCAATTTCTGAAGCAGTGTAGCGTACTATTGTTTATTTACGTGTATTTCGTTTACTATACAAATATTAAAACAGAACTGGCATTGCAATGTCAATTTGCAAAACTTATAGCATCTTCTGATAAAATTGTTACTTTTGCGCTACCCTTTATAATATCATTACGTTTGCTAGGATTATTGAATAAGGAATGGTGTCGGGTAGCCATCAGGAATCATGTTAGCATTTAAACTCCTATATCCGTCACATGGTGTCCAAGATCCGTCATCTTTGCGAACTAGATGCAAAGGGCTTGCCTATTTGAAGGACGGAACCGCACTTGATCAGGAATTCTAATTCTGCACGGACAGCTGCGAAGTTTTTCAGTGATAAGTGTCTTKGTCGTATGCAAACTAATGGACCATTATTGGAAATATGATGAACTTTTGACGTGTTCGTGCGTATGCCAAGTCCTGTCGGACATGTAACCTTAGAGAACTCCTTTAACATTTTCGAAAAATCTTGTGTTAAAATTATAGTTTATATGTTCGTAGATGTTTATGTCGTATCAAACCATGATGACTTAATAATCCAAGAATACCCTGCGAGACATCGGCGATTATGAACTTCCAAAGAAACTCCCGGCTTATGTTTACATAAATTTAATTTAAATACGAAATGACTTCACCGTATGTTGTACGGAAGATCCATTTGCGGCAAACAATGACAGCGATTATCCACGTGCTGTGGCTAATTTCGTCGATTTTGCTATAACGTATATGTACGCCCCTGTGTCTCTCGGCGAAATTTTCGATGGTTCTACAACGAATGTAGCTAAATTTGTCCACTGCTGGTGCATCTATCAATTCCTATGTGAAATTTGGCTCAGTCGGAGCAAACATATAACTTCGCCGGGAGTGGAATCCGTGTTGGAGTAGTTTGCTGTTTAACCTGTTCCACGTCGCTATTAGTATTCGCCGCTCGTATTGATCATGTTCGTAAATGTTAAATGTATTAAAAAATTACCTTTTTCGCCTGAGTTCACCAACGTGGTTTTGTACAGAGTAGGCATGTGATATCTGCTTGGCAGTTGATGTGCAATAGAGAAAAATTATTGATATATCAAAGCTACATACAATAGAAGAAAGCAAAATAAATGAATGTATTGGGAAATAAAAATTAATAACATTTATGGTGTTGCCACATATATATAATCTCACTCGAATAGTTTTAGATGATACGTACATCGCTCTGTAACAACATGTTAGAATATACAACATGTATAGAATATAAAGAGATGTAAAAAAAAGTTGAGAAAATGTCACAAGTTCACTAGAAATTGCGTAACTGTTTTGGTGCACCCTTAAGATAGGAAATAATGACACTTAAACCGTCATAACGGGATTGAAATAACTTTAGTGTTTTATGTTATCTCTGTATATGTTATTTACATGTTTAGGTTTTGAATAACATATTTTAACTTACCTCCCTGGTCGTCCAAGGCCACTAATGTACGAATTCCAGCTTCTTTGCTCTATTTAAAAGAAATTAATAATTTTTAAATTCCCAAAATATACCATTTAAGTTGACTTAATTCTATGGGAGAGACTTTAAACGCGAAGACAATTGTGACTATTATTGTAAGAATTATACATAATAAGTACAAATGAATTATAAAATTTACTTTATGTACCTATAAGTAGATTGCGTTTTATAATTCGAAATTAGAGAATAAAAACCAATATTAATAATCGAAAATCGATTTATTGTTTTCTAAAATATTCTTAATTAAGATCTATACTTTACGCGAGATTACTGTTTAAAAAGGTGTTTTATGATCAAATTCAAATTTATTTCACTTCTTCTTATAATATATGTATTTACAGTGAGTAATGTATATAAGTTAAGAGTACAGGCGATTTTGCCTTTTCTACTTAAAAATTATTTGAGAATGAGTTATGATATGTTGCTATTAATAATATAGTTTTTGTAGGGAAAAAAATTACAAAAATCTCTTAAAGAATATTGTCTTAACATACTTATTTCTACTTTATAACTAAGAATATATTTTACAACAGTTAATTGATTAATTCATTAATATGAGAGTACGTGGAATGCTCACAGCGATCGTTAAACCTTCTATTTAGTCGGGACAATCTATCTGCGACTAATTCAACATTAGCTCTGTCGTGTAATTCCGAGGTAGAAAAATGCCATGGTAGGTTGAAAATTATTTTTAATATTTTATTTAGGGCCACTTGAAGTTTGTAGATGTGGGAGTTCGCGATATCGGCCCATACTGGTGCCCCATAAAAAACAACTGCCTGGAAAATAGACCTGAATAGATACATTTTGTTGGTTATACTAAGTTCTGACCTTCTGTTTAGAAATGGGTATAACGACCGAATTAGTATGTTAGTTTTTTTTAATGATGTAAAGCACGTGGTCTTTAAACGTCAGTCAAGGGTCTAGTGTCAGTCCTAAATATCTAACAGTCTTTTCCCAGTTGACATCGAAAGAGTTAAGTGAAATATATATGACTTGTTGGGAGAAAGATGCTTTTACGCTTCCTAGTGAAAAAAATTGCTTGAGTCTTGTCAGTATAGACCAGAATTTTCCATTTGTTAAAATAAGAGACAATGATATTAAAGTTCTCTTGGAGTGAATTTGTGATATCAGCTGCGACGAAGCCTGAGCTGAGTATTGCGGTGTCGTCCGCGAAAATGGAAGCTGTGCTCTTACTTAGAGGTGGAAAATCCGAAGTAAAAATGTTACACAATAATGGAGACAGACACGAACCTTGGAGACAACCAGCATTGATGTAAATTTGCGAGACTGCGCTTCGCTCAGGTGGACTGTAAATGATCGGTTGGCCAAAAAACTTTGTATACTTTTAATATAAACGAAGGGAAATTTTAAGAGCATCATTTTGTACATCACATTGATATCTAGTAGAATCATACCAGTGGATTTAGAGTTTTTAAAATTTGTTTTTATGATTCTTTTTATTCTAAGCAATGGGTGTAAGGTATTATGTTCATGTCGGAAACCAAATGGCACTGGCGGGAGCACTTCATTGTCTYCCATAAAGGTCGACAGTCTTTTATAACTTTTTCAAAAATTTTACAGGTTTGTTTTGCTTTAATATTGGCATAACCTTTGAAAGCTTCCATTGGGACCGAAAGTAGCATAAATGAGGATATTTGTTTATAATTTATTTTATTTATTTATTTATTTATTTATTTAGTTAAGTCTATGAACATTAATTCTCACAGACTAATGGAAAATTAATATGCTAAATAGAATTCTAAAATAATTCAATTAAAAGTACATAAGTAATTAACTTAAACTAAAAAAACAGAATTTACGGTATTTACGAAGGATACCCAAGAGTGAGAAAAATCAAGAAGAACTTTTTCGGAAATCGAGTTAAACTCTCGCATAGCACGCTTGAGAGGAGCATATTCAGCAAAGTTAGTACTTTCCTTTATATAATAAAATGGGTAAATAGATCTGAGACAACGTTGGGGAGTATTGAAGTTAATTTTCCCTAATAAATAGGGACAGTCAATACCTCTATTAATAACATTAAAAATAAATGAAAGGCAGAGAACGGACCGACGATTTTCCAGTAGTTTAAGATGTAAAAGCAATAAACGGGATGTATACGATGGTATTGGGTCAACAAACTTAAGGGAGCGGAGAGCAAATTTAAGAAAAATCTTTTGCACACGCTCGATCCTATTAATTGACGATATGCAGTATGGTCTCCAAATGAACACTGCATACTACAAAATGGGCCGAACAAAGCATGTATACAGTAATTTTAACGTGTAGGGGTCGGAAAATTTTAAAGCATTGCGACGGACAAAGCCGARTACAGAGAATGATTTAGAAGTGATATAGTTGATGTGACTATTGAAAGAAAATCTGTTGTAAAAGGGGCTCCCCAAGATCTTTGATTTCAGTAACGCATTTTAGGACGCCCCTACCATAAGAGATCTGAGAGCATTTATCTGGATTCAGAAAAAGCTTCGATTTCAGGCACCAATCATAAAAAGTATCAATAAGAAGAAAAGAAGTGGACCCAAGACGCTTCCTTGTGGTACTCCTGAAGACAAAATGAATGTATCAGATGACATTCCATCGACGCTGACAACGCATCGTCTATTGTGCAGATATGATTTAATCCACTGCAAGAAAACCGAGTGAAAYCCTAAAGATGATAATTTTTTTATTCGAATTTTGTGTGAAACTTTATCAAAGGCTTTAGAGAAATCTGTTTAGACACAATCCACCTGAAATCCAGCGGAGAATGCAGACATACAATAATCACTAAAAACCGCTAAGTTTGAGACAGTGGAGCGCCCAGGGACAAACCCATGCTGATTGACATTAATTATAGATTTTACTGCATAAAATTATTTATTTTTAACAGAATACTCAAACATTTTCGAARCAGTAGAAAGTATGGAGATAGGCCTGTAATTGGAGACTACGTCTTTTCAACCACCTTTCAGAATAGGGGTAATGCATGTCAATTTCCAGTCAGCAATAAAATTCCCAGAGGAGAGAGACTTATTGAAGATAAGCATGAGAGGATATACCAATCCCAAGCCCATCCAAATCCAATTTGGGAGAAGACTTAATATCAGAAATAGCCTTGGCAATATCATCTTGTGAAAGACACGGTGTGCCAAAATTTATGGATAGGAAGTTATTAGCCGAATGAGTGGAACTAATACCAGGATCGTAGTGAACATAATTCGATTGGAAAAATTCAGCAAACAGGTTGGAGATGTCGCCAGGTGTGCACGCGGACTTATCACCCCGGCTTAAAGCAGAGGTAATGGCCGAACACGCTCTTCTAGATTTTACAAAGTTCCAAAAGAGCTTAGGGTTCGACTTGATTGAAGACTCTGTACTATTAATAAACCTTTTATAAAGACAACTGTATAGTGCTGGTATTCAACAAAGGAAACATGAGATTTAGTTGAAGAGAATTTTCTGTAGTATTTATTTCTAAGATTTTTTAAACGTTTGAGGGCCTTATTGTACATATTGTGCATGTTTGAGCGGGATATTATAATGACAAAATACCTTAATTGATTTCTTGAAAATCGAGAAACTATTAGCTGTATCCAGTCCCGACAGTAAATCATCCCATTTAATCTCACAAAGCAGATTATTGAGTCGTTGAAAATCACAAAATGCAAAATTAAAMCCAAGCCCGTCGGTAGGTTTAACATGAGCAAAAAGATAAGTATCCACCTCAAACGCTAGTGGAGAATGATGATTGGTGGCCGGAATAATTGAAGAGAATCCGTCAAGAAACGTAAATTTTAAATTATCACTTAGAAAGACTAAGTCAAGAAATCGATCGAGACTATTTGAATGTGAGTTAATTTGAATCAGATTGAGACTAAGCAGGCTATCAATGAAAAATAACTCCTGAGAAGATGAAAGATTGGAGGGAATAAGAGCAGGACTATAGGAAAAACCCGACCAGATGATATTGCTTAAATTAAAGTCACCTAAAATACAAATATTATTCTCTTTCACCATATTTAATACCAGCGAGGAAATGTTATTAGCGTGCGACTTATAGAACTCTAGGGGACTATTAGGATGGATGTAAGAGACTACAATGAACAGAGCGTCATTGATACAAATACATAGTTGGTCCAGAATAGAATCATCATTATCAAGCATAATTAAACGAGGTCGAAATTTGCGATGAACTGCTAGGAGCACACCACCCCCTCTTAAACAGCCAGTTTTTACATGATCTCTGTCCTTACGGAAAACATAATAGAGATTTGAATCAAAATATTCACTATCAAAGTAGTTGGAATTCAACCAAGTCTCAACAATCACGATAACATCGTAATCCAAATGTGAAGCAAAGTTGCGAATAATATTTGATTTACACCTAGTGCCCGATCAAATTTTTTAGTACACTTTAAGACCGGAGACAGATGAGGAAGGTGACTTATGAATAAAATCATGATTAACAGGCGCATCAACTAATACGCAACGCAGTTTTCCCCTCCCTTTGGAAAAAACTTCAAGGGACGCCACTTGATGCCAGAAGRCCACACTGAAGAGGAGAAAACGGCATTAAAAAAAGATGGGGACACACCTAACTTAAAGTTTATCCTCTTAAGATGATTAATATTCGTATCTTTCTTAAATAATTTATAACATAAGAGATGCTCACTATTAACATTAGCATGTTTAACAACAAAAGCTATAATATCTTCCTCAGTGACTGAGTTCTTAAAAGCATACAGGTGAATCCATTTCTTGGGTACGACGACATCGAGATCACTATTGGCATTAACACCAACAACAGTTGAAGCAGCTGGGGATTTTTTGTTCCTAGTGCTCACTTTTAACATCGAATTTCCATTTGCAGTAATTCTAGTAGAAGAACTCAGATTAACAGAATCAACAACGGCGTCTGATTGAGCAGCATTGACAGCGGCAGAAGGGCCAATTGATTTAGCAGCAGCTGATGTATTGTTTATGGCT